AGGGAGCTCCACCATCCTCTGAGTTGCAGACCGCCTAGGAGCAAGTCAAGTGACGAGTTCGCCATCAGGCAGTTCGTCACCAGGCAGTTCGCCACCAGGGAGCACTACCAGGCAGTTCGCCACCAGGCAGTTCGTCACAAGGGAGCACTGCCGGGCAGTTCGCCATCAGGCAGTTCGCCACCAGGGAGCACTGCTGGGCAGTTCGCCACCAGGCAGTTCGCCATCAGGCAGTTTGCCACCAGGGAGCACTGCCGGGCAGTTCGCCACCAGGGAGCACTACCAGGCAGTTCGCCACCGGGCAGTTCTCCCCCAGGCAGTTCGCCACCAAGTAGCTCATCACCAAGGCACGTCACCACCAGGTCAAACACAAGGTACTTAGCCAAAAAATTTATACATCACAAAAAATGGTACGTGACCAAAAACGGTTACATCAGGTACAATACCCCACAAAGCTGAAAAGTTATCCTTGCGGGTCCCCCATATCTGAAGGTACACGTGTCCACTTAAATATGTAGTATAAATTTTTAAGTTCTCTCTTAATTGCAATTTACAAAGTACAACTCTGAGAGCTTATTTTCACTGAATTATTTTAATTTTAAGCATCTTTAGTAGCCTTTTCAATTTAAATTTTAAATATTGTACTGCTTAGAAATTTTTTTAAACGTGAAAATAATTTATAAAAATAAATGCCAACGTATTTTAGAACAATATGATTTTGATACTATTTTGACATAAACTTAATTAATTCCAACATATTGTTAATATGATGAGACAAGATATAAAATGCATATCAATGGTTACAACACACTGGAAACAGATTTTATAAAACGCTAAAACATATCAATGGTCACAATTTTTCTTCAGTTTTCACAATTTGCATGGTTATTGTTTTTTTAAAGAATTTGCATGATTAGTGATTTGATTTATAAGCTATTTGGGGTAGGATATACAAAAAGGTCCAATACCCACAGTTTTACTAATTTTCAGTTAATAACCATCCGTTCACCATTATTTCTCACCTACCATTAATATTTAAACTTGACAAAGTCACTGATTACTAGTATTTAACATATCCCAAGTTCAAAAATTAATACATATTCTCTGATAGGGTATCATAGTTTTCTATATTTTGACCCTTGGATATGTATTACATGGTCTACAGTATTTATTTTTTGGCAAAATCCAATTTTAAAGAAAAAAAAAGATAGAGACATGATAAGTAAGGATACACATCAAACTAATTATCTCGTTATATACAATTTTACATCAAAGCATTTAAATATGTAAACAATATTTTGATAAATGCTTATTATGACTAAGTTATTTAATGAAATGATGAAAGAAAGAAAAAAATATATGATGTCTAATGAATGGAGAAAAAGTAAAATGATGTCAATATTTAAAAACAAAGGTGATATATAAAGTTATAATGAATATCAAGCGATTAAACTTTTAAGTCGCACTATAAAAAATTGGGAGAGAATAATTGAGTAAAGATTATGACATTAAATAAATATATCATAGAAGTTATTTGAATTTATGTTAGACAAATCAACTATGGAAGTAAAAAGGAAAGATCTTCATATGATGTTTATTGAACTAGACAAATCATATAATAGAATTATTAAATAAAGAGGTTCCAAATATGTGTGTGCAAGAGAGAGAGAGAGACCAAATTAAGGATACCTATGTTAAGACATCTATGGGAAAGATAACTCAATGCAACCTTCTTCCTGATATATTGGTTCAATAATTTATAACACGGAAGATGCCCATAGAATATGAACAAGAAAGACAAAATGAAAGGCTACAAATGAAGTTTTATTTGATAGACAAATACCAATTAAATTGAAAGGAAAATACTACAAAATAATTGCAAAGCCAATTATATTGTAAGAAGCAAGAGTACAAGGCACTCAAAAGGCAACATGTCCAAAAAGGACGTGGATAAAATTAGTAAAAAATGATTTAAGCATCAATAATTTAACAATTGTTATGACATTAAATATGATAGAATGGTGAAATAGGACACATGTAGCTATAGCAATGCAAACGGATCGGATCAAATTCAAATTAGGGTATACCTGAATCCAATCCGATGAATTGTAGGCTTGATCTGATTTGATCCGATCCGATAGGATCTTACAAATATTGATTTGGATTTGAATCCAGTAAGGGTGTTAGATATCTGAATATGATCCAATCCAATTTAATTTTTAAAAATAATAAATTATTAAAACGAAAGAAAAATATAACAGTTTAAATAAAAATAAAAGTATTTTTTCAATTATTTTCATCATATATATACTTCTTTTTATAAAAAATAAGTAATATAAAATGTGTACAAAAATGTAATATGAATAACATATTTATAAATAAATAAATAGCATATATATACACGGATAAAGGTGATCCAAATCAAGTTCAATCTGTTCCAAAAAAATTGAAATGAGGATATCCGAGTCCAGCAAAAAAGATGATTGGATTTTAGCTGAAACCATGTAGTTGGGAATAAGGCTTGAATTATGATAATGATGATACATGTACAAATTATACTTGAAAATCAAAAAACCAAGAATGATACAAAAGAGGAAACAATGTGGTCCACTTATAACATTGTTTTTGGTTTTTTTTTATGTTTTGAAAAGCAAAAACATACAAATTGACAAGGTCCCCTTAGTATCATTCATTAGGGATATCGTCAAAGAAATTCATCAAAACATTTGTATCAATATAAACATCATTCCAATCAGGAATCGGTCCTGGGATCTCAGAACCCGAAATCGACAAATGAAAGGGGGAAGAACCAAATTTTTCATCGGATAAAAAAGTATGAACCATATCCGTTCCAACTCCTCTACAAGTTCTTGAACTTCTCTTTCTCTTAGGGCAAGGAGGCAGCACAAATTCCATAGTTTCATCTGATAAAGAAGTATGAACTATATCCTCCCCAACTCCTGTACAAGTTCTCGAACTTGGGCGTTTGCATTCATGCAGTACTACTGGTCTGCCCCTTTCCTTCACCGCAAAGGGATTACAGCCATGTGGTTCGCGGTCCTGGGGACTACTTGTCTGCAGGATAGAACCAGGATCAGGGCCAACGATTGGCCTCTTCCGTGGCATTCCTCGGCCTCGCTTTCCTGCCTCACAAGCCATTGGATCAGTATCAGATCCCTTTGGCTCTGTTACAACATCGCAATTAAAGCCAATAACTGGCCTGGTGCGTGGTCTCCCTCGGCATCGACGTCGAATCCGTCCCTTGAAAACCTTGGGTTCAAATCCCAGTCTTCCTGCATTAATACTGGCACTGCTCGAAGTAGCATCACCATCTATGGTTAGATCACTATTCGCTGATTCTTCTTCTAATTCTTCCTTGAATAATTTGGCTTTTTCAAGGATTTTGCTGTTACGCTTCATGACGTTTCTTGTTTTTCCCCTTCTTGTCTTGTTGTCGTATCGGATTTCTGACAAGGATCCACTATCGGATTTCTCGAAGTTTTTGCAAAAAATAGATTTCTACGAACGCTTAAAGATAATTACTGAAAACATCTATCGATCGTGTTTGAAACTTCGAATGCTTTTCCATGTACGGATAAAACAGGATATTTAAAAGGTTTTTAGACCGCCCAAGAGTCGTGAGGCCATAGGTTTCCGAATTTGAGTTAGGACTTGTTTCAGATTACGTGGCCAACCCAAATAAAATTTAGATATGTCGGTTGTGAAAACAGCTGGCCCATGAAAAGAAGTAGCCATCGGGATTCAGTTAGTTTGGAACCCTTTATACTCCAATCTAACGATTAAAAATGAGGGATCTCATCCATAAATAATAATAAAATACCAAACAGAGACCGGGCCGACTACAAGTAAAAGATAGAGAATGACCCGCTTCTTCACCCTAGTCCTACTACTACCCAAAGTACGTTACAGGCAGAAACGGGAAGCACAGGAAAATAAAAAATTCAAACGTCCATTCGTCAAAACATACACTTCCATCCAATAAAATTGAAAACAAGATATGTCATATTAAAAAGAAACTAAATCCAGCATTGATGCTAAATTAATAAAAATTAAAACGTAGTAATCGAGGGTTAAAACAACCCTCGTAAATAAAGAACTCCTCGGAGCTGGCACTTGCAAACCCTCCGATGATTAGTTTATAGGGGGGAAAAATCCATCAAGAAAGTTTTTGGGAGAAGCTCCCTTTGAATCTCAATCTGAAACTAAATTATTCAAGAGAAGGAAAAAATCGCCCGGATGAACGGAACTCTCGATAATATCAACTCAAAAAGTTTTCATCACCATCTACGATCTACCACTGAAGGAATGATTTGCAGGGAAATTCAGACCAAATTAGGCGCCACCAGAGCCATACTTCTTTCCAAAAACGATCAGCTGAAGCTTGTCATAACCAGCAAGCACACCAGCGCCAGCAATTGCTCGAAGAATGTTTGCTCCAGCCCCCTTGAACAATGACTTGGCACCCTCGTTTTTGAGGATCTGAGAGAAGGCATCCAGAGAGCTCTTGTACTTCACAGCTTCACCTGAGGTCATCATCATTCTTCTACGAACCGTGTCAATAGGGTATGATGCAAGGCCAGCACCATTTGTGATGAGCCAACCCAATGCGAAGCTAGCAAAAAAACTATCCTGAAAACATCAATCAAACAAAAATGCATGTTAGAACAAAAATGCAATCCATGGATCCATGCTCTCTAAATTGAAAGCCCTATTAGCAGAGAGGTTCCAGCCAGATTACATTTTAATACAAAATAGGATGAGGAAGATAATGGAGTATTAAATCAGGCAGTTCAATTACTAAAACACGAGGACAGGGAATGCTATTCTCCCACTCATAACATCAATGGAACCACAAGCATTTACTTCTAGTTCTATGCCTTTTCTTTTTCGTTTGAATAGACATATTATAAGAAAATTAATTGTGGCCCATATTCTGAGTAATGGGAATTAGCATTCAACTTCCAACAACGTATAAAGTGTGTGGTGTCCTCAGAATAGCACCAAGTATGGACCTTGCCATTAGCCAATGCATCAACCTATCCTTCTAGTTCTAGTGAGGGGAAAGATGTTCAATCACCATTATTGTTGGGCAATTGCAGATCACAAAGAACTATTTACTCACACTTAAATGGCTTTATCACATGCATTTTAACCCGAGAGAAACAATATGAGAAGTGTTCTCATAGAGAAATGGTATTTTGTAAATTGTAACTAACCTGTAACTTTCCAGTGAGAACCACCGGTTTCAAAGAATCATAGAGTCCAAAGTAGAGACCACGGTAAACAATGATTCCAACGCAAGAGATGTTGAAACCACGGTATAGACCAGCAATACCATCAGATTTTAGAGTCTTTCTGTAGACATCAACCAAGCCATTAAATTGCCTCTCTCCTCCCTTCTTTGCAGCCTTTGCATCATTTGCCAACCGGGTTCGAGCATAGTCAAGGGAATAGACAAAAAGGAGGGAAGAAGCACCAGCAGCACCTCCTGATGCCAAGTTTCCAGCAAACCATTTCCAATAGCCATCCCTGTCTTTCTTGAAACTGAACAACCTTTTGAAGTAATCTTTAAAAGCAAAGTTCAAAGCCTGATGCAGAAACCAGTATGTTATCAGCACAAACTGAAGATAGGAAACAATTGCAACCAGAACAGTATCACAAGAACAGAAGGAAAACCTGTGTGGGGAAGTAACGGATGACATTGGCAGTGTTTCCTCTCCACAATGACGCAAACCCTTCATCCTTGATTGTTCGTTTGAAACAATCTGTAATACCCTTGTAGGGTTCAGAGAGCCGGCCAGCCTTGATCATTTCATCCTGGTTCTGGATCAAAAGCTTCACACGCTCAATGGGAGCAGCAGCTGTTTTGGATACAGCAGCAGAAACACCTCCCATTAGGAAATCAATGGCAAAGCCGGAAAATCCTTTCTCTTTGGGGGCTTGGACAAAGATAGGTAAAGCAGAGGGGGGAACCATGGACAGGTCACAGCTGCCGCTGCATGGCTGTACAAATGGGTACTGCAATCCCGCATTGCTATAATTTCCATATGCGAAGCGCCTTTGATACAAGGAAGGCCCATAAAAGGCATTGCTCCGAGTAGACACATCTTGGGAGAGGCTTGAACTGAGATGAAGCTGGCCAGCAACTTTCTGAATAACAGTTGGATGATTAGACCGATCAGCCATCATTTTCTCCAAATTAGAACACTGTCAACAACATAAAAAAGTTCTTGTCAAACAGACCAATCAGCCATATTTTTCTGCAGATTAAAACACCAAAACATATAAAGCTCTTGTGAACAGACCAATCAGCCATAATTTTCTGGAGATTAAAACACCGTTATCAACTAAAACTTCCCATCAATACTACACTCAAAACAGTGTTCAGATCACACCCAGAATGGCATACCAATAATTCAGATCACACCCAGAAGATGACTCAGCCTCAAACAGTGTTCGCAACTAGGTGAACAATTAAGACTCATTTTGTGACATGCATGTTAACTACACGCAGCTGTACCTTCCTTGGTTATTTCTGTGTTTTGATGAATAAACCTTGAATTTAATGTTTGAATAAGTAACTTACTGTAATGTAGGCTGTTAGCTATGATTTTTTAAGAGGTGCAACCAGGTACAATCAAGGCTCATTTCGTGACATGCATGTTAACTACACAAAGGTGTACCTCGCCATGGTTATTTCTGTCTGTGTTTTGAATAATTAACCTTGAGTTTAATGCATGACCAAGTAGCTTACTATAATGTAGGGTGTAGATATCATGTTTTCAAGCAATATAACTAATGAGCTTTTTCAGAACATTGTCTTTCTACAGAAATTTAGATTTGCAGATTCATACGTACAAGTATTAACATTTTTTTTTCAAAATTGGCACATCATTGCATGTCAAGTCTTGGGCTCTAGGAACCCCTTGAGTACTAGTTGCACTTCCTGCTTTTAAAATACCATAAATTTCCTTGGTTCAGAAGCCATAGGCAAATTACAAAATCAATTCTATACCAACGTTCTAGAATCTGCCTAAATTCCCAGAAATGGAAACCAGGCTCTGGCAGAACAATAATCACCACTTATGAGGTCAGTTTCTTGAATTTGGAGTCTCAAGTTCAATTGAGTTTGAGAATACTCTTCAACTGCCCGAGGTAAACTAGGAAATGGAAACAAAATTGATTATCAGAGAGCATAGATGATTAGGACAATTAACAAAGGACAAGATGTTGTTAACAGCATTGAAGGGGAATAAATGTGAATCTTAAAGGATTCAGAGTGAAGGCAAAGTAAAATGTGTACAGCAGGCAGTAAGACCCTTTTTGCCTTGCAGAAAATAACGAAACAATACTACAAGGATTCTGGCCCACAAAACCGACTTTTAGTGTCTCAAATTATTAAAAAAAGACAGCGTTGTTATGTTTACAGTCAATGCCCCTACTACACAAGGCCCTCTTTTCCTTTTCCAGTCAAGGCATCCTATTACCCGCCATAAGGACTAAAATATTCAAGTATGAAGATACAGTAGAACACTGGAAGTCTGGAACCAAAGGATGGTATAGAAAGAAACAGCTCTGTAATGTTTACAGTGAAGACAACCTACTAGTTTCTCTCAAACAGGAACAGGGCCGCAAGGCCCACTTCCAATTCTTATTCCAGCCAGCGACCTCTACCAAGTTAGACAATAAGGAGTAAAACATTTACCTTATGTTTGGTTTGAAAGAAAATGTACGGAAAGGTACGGAAACCTGTATAAGATGCAGTACAATAGTGGAACCAATGCTATAGATAGTGGCAGCTCCTCGGAGAAAATAGTCTTAGTAGTTAATGGTTCCTAATTATAGTGCAGAACTGCCGACAACCAACAAAGAGGAAAACAGCAGGAACAAGAACTTCATTTTTAAAATTTAAAAACCAATTGAACGTAGAGGCAAAGCTTGGCGATCTAGGTGACAGTAAATGGATAATTGAAAAGCACTAAGCCACTAAGCTAAATCCAGACACAACAAGGAACCACAAACAATCTTCAGAATTGGTATCCCGATTCGTTCATAAATATTGATGAGCTAAGTTGGCTGACACACGGATTGAAAGACCAGGCCCATGAAATAATGCAGCATACACACAGATCGTAGCATCCACGACTACGAAATTTTGCAATTGGGTACACATTACGACGGAAAAACGCACACTGAACAAGAAATTCAACTGACACAAACGGTAATCCAACAAATCCCGTTAAAATGGAAAATTGGAACTTTTAGTCTCGGGAAATTAAAAACTTGTTCTTAAGAGATCGATACTATAGGACGGATAAAAAGACCCAGATCTATGCTACAACAGCCAAGATACAACTAATCAAGATACAGATCCCTTAAAGAAACAGAACCACTAAATAAAAAAAAACAAATGAACAAAAACATACGCATTAATCCAAGATCTGTAGACATACAGATCCAACTAACCTTCTTATGCCGATTCTAATGTTAAAACAAAACTCTAAAATACATAAGTCGAAATACAAACAGGAATAAACAGATAAAAGGATGACAGATGAGGAAAAACGATCCAAGAGCTGTTACAAAATGAAAAAAAGAAAAGAAAAGAAAAAGAAGAACAATCAACAGATCTGAGTGTGCCTATGGTTAGAAGTGTGAGAGCAGTTCAGGATGACGCAATCAGCGGCGAAACTTCTGCAACTAAAAATACACAAACAGTTATAAAACCCTAACATCCATCCAAGCATTAGATCAACGCTCCCAAAGAACAAGAAGATCCGGACCGGAACCAGACCTCCGATCCGACCGTAAAGAAATAAGGAGCAACAAAATATTAAAGAAAAAGAGAAAACCATCTGGAAATGGCAATACCTCTCGGCTCTGAAGATTGCGTGAGTAGTCTCTGAGCGTTCGCTCCACCTCTCGCTTCGCTGAAAAAGCGAAAGGTGAGGAGAGAGGACAAATGACTGAATGAGAGAGAGGGATCAACGATGTGAGGGATGGTCTCGTTTTAAGGGATGACTTTAGAGATTTTTATTTTTTTTAATACGGGGAAGACAATCTCTGATGTATCTGCGAGCACTACTTTTCAGTGGTCTCAAAATTTCATTACCGTGGATTTCACATATTGAAATGTAAACCGTCGGATATTTTATTTCCCGGCAATTTCTTTTTTAAAACATGTCGCGCATATACACCTAGACCATCCGTATATGCACGAAAAACGTCATGCAGATCACCGTTTGATGAACCTTCTGCAACTTAATACAGTAGCCCCTGATACTTGCTCGTGTAATCGTCTCCTGCATGTTGAGGTTCCCGATGCAATGCAAGGGCAAGAAAGAAGACAGATTTCATGTTCCCCGATACTACAGTAATTTTGGTCGAGCGTGCTCGTTGCCCGCCTCATTGGGTCTTTCGAATAATTGATAATTGATCGGTTGTTGTAGATTGCCAGATTGGCCTTTCAGATTGAGAGAGAGAGAGTAGAGATTCGTTTGGAGGAAAAGGTAGGTGTCTATATGTTTAATATGATACCGGGAGCATTATATCAAAACATGGCCAAGGTAGCGGAGGGGAGAGAGAGGTAGGTGGATTCGTATACAGACGCCAGCGAATGGGCGGCTGAGAGAAGTCCTGAAAATTGGGTGGTCTACAGACGACGATGAAAAAGGCAGACACGCGTGGCTTTCACGCTGTGCGTTCACACTCTGTACATTTGTCTAACACGTGCTTTTCTTGCTCTCACACGTGCAGAATAGCTTATCATCTCCTAGAGACCAAGACTCCAACTTCGAATCCGGATCTCCTATCCACGAGAACTCTGTTCACTCTACCCATATAAGAAAATGAGATATTCTCCATAGATGTGTGATGTTATGTGAACAGACGTGGGCAAATATTTTGTGGGCAGAGGAGATCCGGACTCACCAACTTCCCCCGCCAACGCACACACTTCGCTCTTCACGTATTAATCGTGCCAAGTATTTAATTTGACGCGTCTGGGCGTCAAAGGATTCCAAAAATTCGATATTCGATTGGACTCCGTATCCGATTATTCATTTTTTTCAAAAAAAAATCCGATTACTCATTTCATTTATTTAAGAAGAAGAAGAAACAGGTTTGCAATTCTATAATAATTTGGTTTGCAGATCTATAATCAGTTTAGGCTCAGTTTGGAGGAATACGAATACAAAATAACACAAAACTATAATTTTGCACTGTACATATTGGTATTTGTACATCTTCCAAACTGAGCCTTAGTTTCATTTCCCTTTATTTAATAAATATTTTATAGCACATATCCTTTGAAAAAACCAGAAAAAAAAAACTATTGAAAAATGTTTTTTGAGGCTAAAAATCATATAAGCTTAATAGTGAAAAAATTATTTAGTATTGGAAAATGTCCCTAACAAATTCTCTGGTAAATGATTTAACTAAATAATATTTCAAACTCTATTGGTGGAAATGCACATGTGGCATTGAGCTGCAACCAAATTTCATTGATTGATGGGTTGGTTTATAGAAGACAAGGTTGATGGGTGGGAGTGGCAGCACTTATACAGAACCTCCATGGCTTGTCCTCATGCAGTGGGAGTGGCAGCACTTATGAAAGCAGTCCATCCTGAATGAAGCCCAACATCCATCGAACTGCCATGATGACAACAACAGATTGACTCGATAACACTATCAAATCCACCATAGAACTCTTAGATGATGAGCAACTCATCAGTCCTCTAGCCACGGGAGCAGGTCACCTAAATCCTAAAAGGCGCTCGACCTTGCATGTTGTCTTAATGACCTGCAAGTGCCATTTTATTTTTTGGGGAGAAACCAAGGTTTTTAAAACCAGACCAAAGAAGGGTTTGTTATGGGCACCGCTTTCCACGTTGACTGCTCCAATCGTCCATTCTGAACAGATGGTCTATTCTAACAAAAAAAATAAAAATAAAAACGACCAAAAAAACGTTGTCTAGGACCTCTAGGTCGATGGTTCAACTGCCTAGGTCAATGATTCCCAGACCAAATCAACATTATTTTTTGGTAAAAGGCGGTTTTGGGGTGAAACCGAATTGATGATGCGACCAATTTTTCTTCAACCCGTTTGCCCGACCTGGTTTGATTTTGAAAACACTGAAAGAAACACTATATTTGGTTTGTATTGGTGCGCATCAATTGATACAATGCGATATAGGCTAGTACACATCCATATTGATTTGATACGTGCGCTTTACGAAACGTATCATATATTATCATACACCGATACCAATACGATATACCTTGCATCTAACATATTGTATCTATATCTAAATCATTATTACACTTTGAATCATGTAAGAACACATCATAGTTTACATGGGCACTATGGCTTACATCTATGCAAAATAAAATGGCCTGTTATGTTTTAACAAATATATTTTTTTAAACTTAAAAAGAAAGGAAAAATAAAAAAAAAAAAAAAACAATTTTGAGAGTTATGAGAGACTAAACAAAGCAGGCAACTCTTGCAGACCAAATCCCAAAGCTAGTGGATGCCATTAATGATTGAAGTCAAGCTTTGGAAAAGGGTGAAAATTCTATTTTAAATTGCCAAATAATCCGGGGAAGCCTCATCGGACCAGACCGGACGGTCGGACAGAGAAAACCAATAACCGATCAGATGACCGTTAATTCGCCTTAAAAGCTTGCGAGCAACTCCATTAATACATGCATACATTGGCCACGTGTTAGCAGAAGAAGCAAATAGGTGTTAAGATGCGCGGCCATCTGGGGCCCACAGTTTGTTACCATCCCATTAGTCTAGAGGTTTTGTACGCACTTACCGTTAAAAGAAGAAAGGACTGTTTCTTGTTTTCCCTCTCACTTTCTCTCACGCACACTTTACACACTCTATTTCTTCTGAGAATACATACGCCTCGATCTTCGCCTCTGAATTGTATGGAATTATAATATAAGATCCGTTTGTTTTTTGTTGTTGTCGGGAGAGGATGAAATGCAAATCAAAGCGAAAATGTCGATTTCTGATCTTGGTTTTGGGTTCTGTCTTCCTGCCGGCAATGGTGTTTTGTCGATTTTCGAAGCTTGAAAGAGCCTTTCCGGTGGACCAAAGATTTGAGTTGATTGAGTTTAGAGCTCGTGACAAGGGTAAGGCACCGCTGAATTTTGCAGGGTGGGATCGTCGATTTTCCTGTCGAGAGTACCTACAATCCTTACGCCGTCGGGTAATTTTTTCTTTCGGTCCTTGTTGATAAGCTCTGGGTTCAATTGAGTATGGCGTTTGGCTTCCGGGTTTTGTTTCTGTTCTTTTACCTACTCGTTATTTTATAATTTATATTGATGGGTTCTTGATATTCTTTGCTTCTTTACTGTTTTTCTTTTCTTTGTTTAATGGGTTCTGGATTTGATGGTTTTTGATGTTCTGAGGTTCTTTAGTTTGTAAATTGACAGCTATGTGGGTATTTACTCTTCTTTTGATGCTTTCGATGTAGTTCATATATGGGTTTTTGAAGATGTTGATTCTTCTTCTCCATTTGTTTATCTTCCTAGGCTTTTGATCTCTTTAAGACTCTACTGGGTGGGGATTTATTGTAATGATTTTCACACATTTCTTTTTTCTTTGAACCGGATCCATTTTACTAGACCGAAATTGGGGACTCCTCCAAAAGAATTCTATGTTCAAATTGATGTCTTGTCGGTCACCTGCAATGCCTGCAGTGGTTGCCCCAAATATAACGGTTTGAGATGCAATTATGCAAATCATAATAATTGGTCCTTATAATATCATGGAAGTGTCAACTGTTAACATATATAAGAACTTGTTTATTTTATCTATAGATAAAAGATAACTTGTAGCGGCTAATCAAGTTATATCAGGATAAAAATTTGATAGAAAGTTCATTCCGAGGTTTAGCTAGTTATGCCAATTCTGACTTCTCCAAGAATCTTTTTTTTTTTCATCAATAATTGTTTTATCACTAAACTTCCTACATTGTTTTAAGACATTGGAAATACTTCCTTCCATTTTTATGAAAGATCAAACTGTTGCATAGTAGTTCTGCTGTCTGAAACAAATTCATGATATTGGCAACCACATTTTGAATGAAGCAGATGCGTTGTCAACACCAGTAATGTTGCGTGTATATTTTCCTCAATTAGTACAAGAGTTATAAGCTGTGAGTTGGTAAGTCTGACTAAAGAGAAGAAGACTAATCTTCTTTTTTTTTTTTTCTTTTTCTTTTTCTTTATCATCTAGCTAATCAACGCATTGGATGGGCTAATTACAACTCTAAGTTAAACAGACAATGCAAGTCCTTCAAGTTTTTCCATGAAATGTTGATCAAGTTGCAGATTTGCTTTTCAGGATCGTTTGCAATTTGCCATCACATTCTAAAGTCTGATCTCATGGCTCCCAACTCCTTTGTTCTTGCATCTTGGCCTCCAGTAAGTCCTGTGGTGAACGAAGGATCAACAAAGTTGTTTAGAAACTTCATCATCTTATATGGAACCTCCATGGCTTGTCCTCATGCTGTGGGAGTGGCAGCACTTATGAAAGGAGTCCATCCTGAATGAAGCCCAACAACCATTTGATCTGTCATGATGACAACAGCAGATTGACTCAATAACACTATCAAACCCATCACAGAACTCTTAGACGACAAGCAACCCACCAGTCCTCTAGCAATGGGAGCGGGTCACCTAAATCCTAACAAAGCGCTCGACCTTGGACTTGTATATGATGCAAATACAACGGACTACATGAGGCTTCTCTGCACTCTGACTTACACTAAGAAGGAATCAAGAAGATAACAAGGTCATTCTCTGATTGGTTAGCCCGTGAAGCGCCAAAGTTTAGGGATGCCTCTTCAACATTCAATCCAAGAGCTCTTCCTTACGATCTTAGTGTAATTGTGTATAGTGATATGTGGGATGTGCTATCCCCGTCTTGTGTAGCCCCTTCGAATATTATAAAAAAAAAAAAATGTTTGTGTTTCATTGGAGATCGCAAACAAGGTTCAAATTATCTTTTCCACTTGCTTAGCCTAACACATGGAAATTATCTTTCATAGTTGGCCAAAAAGACTGATTGGTCAGGAACCTTTCATATAAAAAGTTGATCTGGGACCTCACATTCTTAGCTCTTTCCTCAAACGAGTGTGACATTCACTCAAACATATAGATTATGTCACTTAATTGTTTAGCTATTGTTATAACTTAGGAGACTTTTCATAATCTTTTCCGCCATTGATGGGTTAATTAAATTTGAGACCCAAAACCCTTGCCAGCTGGTGATTAGAATAAAATTCCATTGGGGGAAAAGTTTGGTATTAAAATATTAAAACATGTAGGCTATTTTTGTTTTTGGTTCGAGAGAAAAATAAGAGTGAAACAGAAAGTTATGGGAAAATTCTCAAGAAATTTCACAAAGTTTGTTGAGAATTTTGCCTCAATTCTCTGTTACTCTCTTATTTTCTATCAAAACCAAACATAGCCTTAACATACAACTGGTGCAGTGGAAGGCCGACATAAGTTGTAGGGTTGAATGGGTGACTGATGCAGGTCACCCAGATCAGTTGGAATTGGCCACATTATGCTTCCAGGTGTGGCAGAGAGGAAGCTCCCTATTTGGCCCAATTAGGGAGCCTCTTTTCTTGATTTTGCTCAAAATTTCATCATCTTGGAAATTAGCAATAGCCATGACTTAATTCTCTCTGCAATGTCACTGTCTGGTTGAATTCTTATGAATCAACTTCTTGATATACTTCTATTCAACAGCATTATTTGGAAACAAATAAATCAATTGAGTTGAGAAGAACAGTGGGCTTTAGAACGCAAAGGCTGTGGTAGCTGAACTGAATAACTTATTATGGGGGTGTTAGCCAATGTGATGTTCTTTTCTTTGTTGCAAGTTTCAAATATTGTCATATATAGCAATCAACCCAATTTCAGCTTCATAAAGAAGGAGCTCACATTAAAAAAGCAACTTCCCGGATCTATATTTAGATAATCGGGATCAACATCAAATAGGTGTAGTTTAACCTAAAACCATAGAGAAACAGATATGTTCTTTTTTCCCTTTTACTTCTCAGTTTGAAGATCTACAAGAATCATCAGTGATCCTTGATTGTTCGTGAATCATGTATTTGTTTTGAGATGCAAAAATAAGTTTGTTTTATTTCAAAAAAGAACCCATTCATATTTTTTTGAAACCACCGAAGTGATGGTTTTTAAAACAAAAACAAATTTTAGAGTACAGATATTGTATGATTTAGGAAGAACTCATGAAATATCATTATATGAAAACATGATTCTTAAACCAGAAATTCTTGAACACATTTTTATCTCTGTTTTGGTAACAAACATGTAAACTACCAATAACAGGTTTTCCATGTTTTTATTTTAGTAACCAATTTTTCATCAAAATAGATGGTTTAATTCGTATTTGTAACTCACAACAAGAGAAACAATTCACTTGGAAGAACACCCAGTGTCAATCTGTGCCTTGAAAATTTTGTATCTTTAATTATTATTTATTTTCTAAAACACAATGTGCTAGATAAACAAGATTTGAGTTGGATAAATCAGTTCAATTGGTCAACAAGGAGAAATCATTCTTCATTGTTCATAATAAAATGCCCACCACCAAATGCCTTTCACAACATATTGGCCACCGAGTCCGTGTCTAATTTTGTTTTCAAACTTGTAATTAATGTTATTGGAAATTTGTATTGATGCTTCTTTTCTTGATGTTATTCAAGTTTTATTCAAGGTGATATCGAGATGCATCCTGAGCTTCTTTTAGTTGTGATTGAAACAAACTTTAATGGCATAACTAAATTGTTGGATGTTATTACTATGTGAGATTTGGAGCCTACGGTTGATCTCTTTGTTGACATTGTTAATTCTGGGTTGAAAGTTGCAAGTGAACTCACAACTCTGCTGGTGATGGGTCAACAACCGCATCAGTTCTTGCACGTGAAATTATCAAATTAGGCTGGTTGAGTGTTACTTTTGGTGCAAAGCCTTTCTCAATTGAGAGAAGGATTAATAAGACAGTACAAGGCCTGGTGGATAAGTTGGAGAAGAAATATATGCCTGTTAAGGGGCGTGATGATATTAAAGGTAATTGCTGTTTTTATGTCTTCATGTTATTTTGCATTTTCTACTGTTGTCTGGTACATTCTTATACCAAATATTTATTTTTATTTCTTCAGTTGTTGCTTCCATCTCTGCTGGAAATAATGATACCATTGGGACTATGATAGCCATGCAATTGATAAGGTTGGCTCTGAAGGTGTTTGAATCTTCATCATCATCCTTTGAGACAACTGTAGAGGTGGATGGAATGGGGTTTTGAATTTATTAATTGGTTCCAAGCTCCATTTGTCTTTGTTAATTATATGATGTATGTGGCGTTTTCCCTTGATGTTTTTCAGACTTGTCTGCACATTGATCTTGGTTACATTTCACCGCAGTTTGTCACAAAGCCTGAGAAAAATGATTATTGGATTTGAGAATGAAAAGGTCTTGGTAACCGATCAGAAGATTTCAATAATAAAGGACAAACTTCCTCTGTTGGAGATGACCACACAACTATAAGTTCCTCTACTCATTATAGCTGAAGACATCACATAATTCCTCTTTTTTTTATCTTGTTTTTGGGAGAGGAACAAGAGGTCTAAACATTCACAGACTGTTTTTCTGGCCTGAATTTTTATTTGGGAGGATGTCACGCTGTTGATTTTTTTTTGGAGCACAAACCCTCGTGGATTGCAACTAACTATACATAAAAAAAAAACAAATAAACAAGCAAACAAACAAAGAAGGGAGAGGAAGAGAGTGAAACATTCCTTGCATAACCACAATTAACTAACTCTTGCATTGATGTGAACAAGATTTGCTTGCATGTTTGTGAATGTAGTGCTTTGGCAGGTACAAAATTACATTTGGTAAATTTGTTAAAAGCTGAGCCAGTTGAAGATCTTGCCCCAACTTGGTGGGAATTTTCCATTTCCAGTTGATTTGTCCACTTGTGGATAATGTAGATTTCTCCATCTTGGGCACTATATATGAATTCATACCCCAGTTCTGCAACTGTGGCCACTCAACACAGGGTTCTCCATGATATGTTGTTGCTTTCCATTGTACCACTACCAAGCCTGAATCCTTCCTACAAGATCTCAGTTTGGACTTCCACTTCATCTAGAAGGAACTTCATTGTACCTCTCGATTTCAGATTGCAATGGAAGTTGTTCAAGACACAGTTACTGCTGTTGGAGATTTGAATGTATGGATAACAGGTCATTTGTTGGGATCTGTTGTAGCAATGTTGGCTGGAAAGAACATGGCAAAGATTGGCACTTTTCTTATATCATTTCTAATCAATCCACCATTCTTCTCTGTTCCAATTGAGATTTTATTCAATCCACCATTCTTCTCTGCTCCAATTGAGAGAATAAAAGATAAAAAATTGAAGCATGGGATCCACATCACAAGCAGCTTGATCACTGCAGGACGTTCTATGGCTGTGAGAACCAAAATTCTCTATCAGAAGATCCATTTCTTGCCTTGTCTACATGGGTCCCATATCTGTTTGTGAATCCTGCAGATGACATTTGTTCGGAGTATGTTCAGTACTTTGAGCATAGGAAAAAGATGAAGAGATTGGAGCTGGAAGCATTGAGAAAGTGACCACTCAAAACTCTATTGGGGGCCTATTCATGCATGTAATTGCACAGGAAGAGCCACTGCACCTTCTTCCATCAGTCAATCTGACCATCAACCAGAGCCCATCATTGGATTTTAAACGTGCTCATGGGATTCACCAATGCTGGAGGATGAAACTACAGCTAATACAAAACTGATTGATCATATTCACCTATCCATGCATGGGCACTTGAAAGGTGGTACAGACCTGGATTTCTTGAGATGTCTCCAGTCTAACTCTTTTTCTAACTCCTAGTTCTAACTACCTCAGATCTGACCATAACAATGATTCTGATGAGAACACCGAAGTAATGAAAAAAAAAACCCCAAATTCTTTCTTCACAACCAAATATTGTATGGACTGAGGCAATTATATCTTCTGGGTACAGGGTTCTGACAGTTGGTCATTTTTATGCCTGACTCTATTATAGCCCAAGCTGGACTATGTCATTTTTATTTTTTATAGAACCTTTATTACAAATTGAAAAGGTCTATGCACAAAATAATACATTGAAACTGGGGAAGGGGTTATCAATAACAGGCATGCTTCGTATAAGTTCTCTGATGTGATCATTGACCTTGGTTACCCTCAGCATGACATCCTGTCTATCTTAATCTGATTAATGAGATTTGGAGATAATGGTTGATGGGTAATTCTGGGAATAAAAGGATAATTATTGGTCACCTTCCTATACGGCTTATCATTGAAGATAGAAGTCAAACCCCTGTCTGGAAAGATCTCTAGCATCCAGCAAAAGTTTTTCATCCAATTTGTTATAAAAATTGCTGAAGATAACTCCATCATCACTCCCATAAGTGGGTGAATGTTTAGGTGGTTTGGTTTTTGCTCTGATTAGTTCTTGGTTCAGCCACAGAATTCCTGTTTTTCCTAATTTTCATTGAAACCTTGTTTCTTTATACTCTTGTGTATCTATTTGTAGAGTCAATAGTTAAGACATGTTGGCCAATGATCTGGTTTGTCAACATCTTAAACCACATCTAGCATGTAAAAGAGGTTAACAAGAGAGCGTGCACTACTTTCATGTGAAAGGGGACATTTGGTTTTGACTGAAATGGCTAAGTGAATAATTGCTTTGTCTTTTAGTGGATAAAATTTCACTATATGTTTTGATTTATTTTACATTTCTGCTTGTTGTGAATCTTTTGAGCATTAGGTAGGTCCTTAAAAATGGTATGGGTTATGTTTGCTAAAATATTAAAAAATATTAATTTTGGGCTAGTAATATATGGTTGGTTTATATAAGACAAGG